AATTAGGAATAACAACACTAACAAGAGAGAACTCGTCCAACCACGCGCTTCCCTCGCCTTATGCGCGCGCAAATGCGTTTTAGTGAGGGGCTTCATGTTGTGCATTTCCAGCCTATTTATTTTGCTTCTCTCTTTACTTTTGTCTTATTAACCATCCTGTCATTAGTGAAGGCGCTTAGTTGACCATTTCTGGATGTGGGACGAGCCATTGAGGTCAGTGGCACCAAAGTTTCTTCACACTGATAAGGGAGTGATATCATCTCGCCATGGCCATTCAGGATAAGACGTAGGCTCTTAGGTCTTCGAACGGTGATATCATATCTCAGTTCCAAACCTGCTAAACGATTCTAGGAGAGAATTAGGGAACACTTCGCTACTGTGCTTAGACAGTGCGGCTCCACCCCTGCCTATACTTTACGTTCATAACCCTCGTGACCACAGCCGCTGCTGTGGTTCGATGACGCAGCAGGTGTATGAGCGGACTCATAGCAGCGGGACAAAGGTTCGGATCCCCCATGCATTATGTGGTTTTGCTTTTTCTTAAGACGTACGTTGAAAACGTGGAAAGCAGCTGGCTATGAGGCTTCCTCTCTGCTCCTTATTGAGCCCTACGAATGACTTTTAAAGGCACGTTCCGCGATAAACTAAGGCTAGAACCTCATGAACGTGCATGATGATCAAGCAGGCAACAGTAGAGGATATGCTGCTTTTAAAAGTTGAAAAACAGCAAGCAGAACGCACGGCGCTCATGTTTTAGGCCCATTGGCGCCCGATAGGCCCATGCCGGCCTCCGGTGACCGTGTCGCTGTGACGCTGCCATTGCGCTCTCTCGCCAGCCTCTCTCGCCTCTTATCAGTGATCGCCGCCTTTTGCAATCCACAACCGATCTTGACCACCTTACGCTCGTCCGGTGATCATGATCAATTGAAATAAAGAGGGTCTTATTGCGGGCGCTTTTTCGTGGTTCCTTCTCTTCAATAAGTCAACAATCACAGGGCAATTCTATTTTTGAACTGTATTACCTATGAAGTGTGGTCGCTGGAATTGCCTTTAAGAGAAATTGCACTTTCAGTTAACTCGCTCAAGCAGGGACCCGATATGCACGCATATCTGCTTCGAGCGCTTGATTTGAAAGTCCCTGCTACTACTGATGAATTCAAAATATTTGGGACACAGGATCCGACATCTGTAGTAGTTCTCTCCACGCCACACTCACATTATCAGCGCAGCTTTTGCGACCAGACGTCCGCTAAGTGGGGGAAATCTTCTGGCCGACTTTGGTGCTATTCATCTAGTCTATCAGTTTTTTCATCAACAGGGCTCAATAAGGAGCACAGAAGGGAGGATCCGAACCTTCCTTACAATTCTGTAGGCCCAATTACCTACCTGCTGCGCCACCGAATCACATCTGCAGTCGTGTCACGAGGTGTTTACAAGCGCGAAGTATGGGCAAGGGGCGCACCACACTGGTTGAGCACAGTAGCGGAAAGGTCCGTAACTTCCTCTCGAATCGTTCAGCAGCTTTGGAAGTCTGATCTGATATCAGGGTCATATGTAAGACGCTTCTAAGGTTATACATTTCATCTTGAATGGCTATGACGATAGCCTTTCCCTGCTAGTCGTACAGCGTGTTTTGTGAAATACCGTAATTCAGCAGTCAAATCTAGGCCTTTAATGTGATGTTCAAAAGCATCACATCAAAAGCTTAGATTGTCTATTGAATCACGCTTGTGATGCTAATTGAATTGTGTGATGCTTCTACAAACCTTACGGTCGTTCAAGTGTCCCATAATTCTGCATATTTCTAAGATTGCTTTCCTTTCAACACTCTGCTTTTCGATGAGCTATGGAATACTTTTCGCTAATTCTAGTGTTTAGCAAGAGATGTGACTGATCGGGTTAGCGATAGATTATTCATGATTCTCAAACGTATAATACTAAGCCGAACAAATTGAAGTATTTTTGTAACAAAATTTTGGACTTCACTTTGCGTCAAGAGGATTTGTTTCTTTTTTTTTTGCTTCACAGGGGGAAACCGTTTACTTGGCTATGGGCTTGCAGACGCATACGTACGTACTCTTACTGTTCGTATTTCTGTCAGTCTATCAGGTGGCATAAGGCAACATTCACCTCTGTCTGCAATCTTGTTGTCGGATTTCTTACCAGGTTTTTCAGCATGCCATTATAGTTTCGTTACGAGAGTGTCCTTTCACTGCCTTTCCTGGTCTTCCTTTGGAGAATGATTTTGAAGGATGTTGGAAGGATCCCCTTCCCACCTCCACGGCGCTGTTCTGCTTGGGGAGAAGAAAGGTGGATGGGGGAAGGGGAGGGGGCACTCTCGTCAGCTCCTTCTGCTAATTCATGTCAACCGACGGTCCTGCAGCTGGTGGCTTACGAACTCTTGTGAAGCGACGAATGAGCATAAAAGACCTTTTCCGCTATAGAAATCTGGTTCCGCTCAGTAGCACTTGGTGCCCTCACCGAGCCGAAGTTCCCTGACACCAGGGTCTTGGAATAACGCCCACTACAGAGGAATCTTTTTTTATTATAACGTGGTAAATTGATTTGTTTGGGCTCCAAAGCGCGAAAGACGTGTCCTGTGTGGCAGAAGAGCTGTCTGCTAACGGTTCAGTGCAGAATGAAGAACATTTGGGAGGATTTAGGCTATTGGGAAGAATTTTCGCAAAATGAATTTCTCCCTCCGGTGCCAGAACTTCCAATACACTCACCTCGTTGTGTTTATTCGTATGACTGATAATTTGTTATCGGCATCTGAGGTATGTTCAGACTGATATTCAGCGACGTTCTATTATGAGGTTAGTGGCGACTATGATTTTGAGGCACACTCTGAGCTTCATTTGATGTGGCGCTTCTCTTGGACCATTTAGTGCTTCCTGCAGGGGTGGAGGAGGATACGTCTTCCGCTGCACAAAAATACGTGAGGAGGACGACTCGCGCTACGACTCTGCCCATTAACCTCAGCAACGCCCTTCTTCGTTTTTGTCCGCTCTTTCGCTTCTTACTGCTTCGCTGCGATCACGAATCCTTTTAAAGGTAAGAGGGGGATGATATGGAGGAAGAGCTGATGCTAACAGAAAGAGAACTCTTCCAACTACGCTCATGCTTCGCCTTATGCACGTATGAGCGCAGTTCACGACAGGGTTCTATACTGGACATTCCGATCGTGTTTTTTTTCTGATTGTTTGTCTTCTTTTTTGTTTCTCGCCATCATGTCATCAGTATGTGAGCAGCACAACTGACCGACAACTCACTCAAGGAGCGTCATCTGGGCCAGCTTACTAGGCGGTCGGCGAAGGATCGAAGGATGCAGCAAGGAACTGTTGGCGGCGAGCAGCTGTCTCCAACCTATTCTAGCCATTTTCTCCCTGATTTACGCTGACCTATTACTTACTTATTATTTATTATGAGAGATTATTTGATCCTTGTCTTCACTAGGTGAATTATGATTGGAATTTCTCTTTCTTCTGCGAACAATCGAACAACAAATAAACAAATAATTTAATACCCACAGAAATCGCACAAACACATCATTACGAAAACAAAAAAAAGACATGACTCATGCCCGTGAAAATTAGGGAGAAAATAGCTAAACCAGGCTGAGAACAGCTGATCGTTGCAGTCATGACGATCCGCAGCCGCGTTGCGACTTTTGACCGCCTAATCAACTGCCCGGATGACGACTGTATGAGCAGCACAAGTCACTGTTTCTAAACGTGTAGCGCGCTTTCAGGGACACATCCTACGATCACACATAGTTTGGGTGTGCGTGACTAGCAGCCCCCCAGCTGTCGAAGCGTAGCGGTTTCCCGTCCTAACATGCGCAGGAATGGAGATACAGGACCGTGAAACACGCTAATTCCTCCATGCTCCGCCCAATGCCTTTTGCGGCGCAAACTCCCGTTCATGCTAACAGCCGTCGTTGCGCGCGGGTCGCGTGCGGCTCTCTTGGCACTTTGCCAAGTCCTGTAATTGCGCTTTGGAATACAAGTAAAACGCAATTTCCTGATGCGGATAACATTTGAGGTGCTGCAAAATAAGAACCGAAGATGATGACGAAAACAGAAAAAAAAACAGAAGTTAAGGGCAACTGTGTTGCTTCTGCAACATTGGCCGCGCCTTCTCTCAAATCATGACAATAAAAACGGTCTAAGCGTCCCACTCGCTAGCTTAAAGCATTTTTACGGCTTTGGAGATGGACTCGCCCGGATCGCGACATTAATCAACATCTCCTTGAATTTTTTCATTTTTTATTTACATCTACATTCGTTGTTCTTCATTTCTAGCCTTTGTCATCTTCATCACCTTCTATTCGGACTTTGAAGCATGAGCAACACCTCAAATGTTATCGCATCAGGAAATTGCGTTTTACTTGTATTCCAAAGCGCAATTACAGGACTTGGCAAAAAGCCAAGAGAGCCGCACGCGACACGCGCGCACACGACGGATGTTAGCATGAACGGGAGTTTGCGCCGCAAAAGGTATTGGGCGGAGCATGGAGGAATTAGCGTGTTTCACGGTCCTGTATCTCCATTCCTGCGCATGTTAGGACGGGGGAAACCGCTACGCTTCGACAGCTGGGGGCTGATAGTCACCACACGCAAGCTATGCGTGGTCGTACCATGTGCTTATGTGGCATAATATAGAAATTTACGTAGATTGCCTTTTCGGACCCTTTTTAGGAATGCTCAATCTTGTCGAGCTTGCATTTCAGTTCGTCTTGTCGAGCTTGCATTCCAGTTCGAGTACTTCAACTCACTAAAAAAGCTGAGAAAGCTTCTTATAGGGCAGGGAACTCTTTACAAAACAGTGTGAAACTCAGGGGCAAGATTTTCCACATTTGCGAGATCTCTTGTGTGAGGGCAGGGCACGTTTCCTTCTACATCGTCCTCATCGTGTTAGCTTCACAGTGCTTTCGTGAGACGGTTCAGGTAGTTAAGTTTGTACAGCAGACCCATTTTGAGTTATCATCTTCGTTCAAGATGGTAGCAGAGGACATCATCTCTCAGAGGTACGATGATATCGTCAAGAGCCCGTCAGATCAGAGAGAGGTTCGTACTCTTTTCATTCAGATTTTAAGAGACTCAGGAACCGCAGTGACCTAGCCCCTTCTGTAAAGCAGGTGGCAGATCCGTGCCCCGATTCAGCACGCCATTGCCTTTCTGTGCTGGCATCGCAATGAAAGAGCGGTGGCACGGCTTCAACTATCGGGATGGTGCGATTGGAGAAGTAGTGCGCGGCCCAGCAATCGGTACAACATGCAGGTCCCGAAACAAGTCTGATGCTTAGAACGATCAGCTCACTCTCGCCCGAATCAATTCATATATTTGATATCGGATCCATCTGGGAGGTTGAGCTTACGCAAAGTTCCGAGACACCTTGTACTGCACAAAGGTACAACTTCGCTGGCAGAAGCCCATCAGCAGGTCGTTTGTGGTCGCTGAAGAGGGGGAGGTCCTTAGGGCAGGGCGAGTCAGCACTGATGAGGAAGCAAACGAAAGATTATGACGATGTGAGTCTTTCGAAAGGCATGGACCCAAATTTGAATAGCGCTGCGAACGATCGACCGCTGTTGTCCTATGAGGGAGGGGAGGAGGGGGGGGGGGGGGGGGTGCGGGCGTACTGTTACCATTCTACCCATCCCAATGCTGAACCCTGCCTGTAGAAGGGTTCATCCGAGCCATGGTTCGAGTCCTTCCGCGGCCAAACTGGGCTTGCAAGTGCAATCAGAAGAAAGGAATTAGCCCTAAAATCCCATAGATAAGAGCGGTCCATAGATAAGAGCGGTTTGTGCTAGAAAATGAAAATTGACGTTTGTATACGTTTTTTTTGGCGTTGTGTGCTCATGATTATCGCTCGATTATGAGAAATTGGAAAAGTTTAGTGTTATGTATATGTTGGAGTCCTTGTTGTTGATATTGTGAAATGTTTTGTTGTGAAATGTGTTTTGAAATGAATTGTTGTGAAATAAAATTTTAAAAATGTTTTTTCAAAATCATTTTTTACCGGTAAATTAAACCGCTCTTATCTATGGAATTTTACTGATCGAATGGGCTCTTCAAGTTCTATCCAGAGATCAAATTCCGGCATTTCTAGAGAGATTCCGGCAGAAATTCCCGTTAAAATCGCTATTTTTCTATATGAATTGTTTATTAAGTGGGCGGGGTTTAGAGTTGAGGGGCGGAGCTTCTTCTAAACTTCTTCTCCGATTTTTATTTATCCATCCATCAAGTTAGAGGGGTGACTGCATTCAATTTCAATTTCATTCCAATTCATTTTTCACCGGTAAATTAAACCGCTCTTATCTATGGGATTTTAGGGTAGTATGAAAGGGATGAGTATGCTCATACCTTTTATTCATTTCAATGCTATGATCTCGGGAGTGAGGCCAGGTACATTTTAGAAACCTTTATTAGCGCGCTCTTGTCTCGTACGGCGCTAGAAGAGCCAGTCGAGCGTGGGAGCGCCAATGAAGAAAGTGGAACGGTAGGCGTGACTCCCATTCAGTCGGCATGGAGTGCCTCTTCAACTGTATTTTACAGGGTGATTTGGCCTAAGAAGAACAATTTAGTCTATTGCAGTATCGAGGACTTGAACTCACAAATGGCCTCCGGGTACTACTGGTATCGGATCCTACTACAGATAAGTCTGCCGCTGCAATGGATGTTAATGTTGGTAGGCCAGTATTACTTAATGTTAACTGCTTTCAAACTATGAATAACTTTTTTTCACTGGCTGAGTGTTCTGTAGTGATTCAGTCCACTGTAGTGATTCATTCCAGGAAGCCTAATGGATCCATGGGACTTGCAAGGGCTGGCGCACTTCTGCGAGCACATGCTCTTTCTTGGTACTGACAAATATCCGAAGGAGAACGAATACCAACGTGTAAGTCATGTAAACTGAGTTGGTAGAATGTTTAGGCTCTACTCGATTCCCCAGAATCTTAACCTCATCATCAACACGCGCGATTCGCTCGTAAGCCATTATCTTGCAGAGTGAAAGTTATCGTGATTGTAATGGTTGTGATAAAAGACGCGCCTCAAGCTTCTTTATCCCGTCCTTCCGGGTGACGAATGTGGTACATTCTCTGCAAGTGCGGACAATGATGCTAAATGCACGGAGGCATTTCGTAAACCATTTGACCGCGGGTGCTGTTTCTAACAAGCAATGATTAGCGGTACCCGGTGCCGAAAAATGAATATAATTAGTGGTCAAGAATTTCAATGAAGATTAGTCGTACGTGCCATGCTGGACCGGTGCGCAGGAATCAATATTGCATTTGTAATTAGAATGGACTTTGGTTGCATGTTTATATCAGCCGAGAAGGAACGTGCTTCCGGCAAAAATTGCGCTAGCTCCATGGTGGCGCCAAGCAGCCTCGACGCTGAGAATGCATGCCAAGTTTGTAAATTCAGAAATAGCGGCGCCGAAAATAACGGTAGTATGGGAGTTTATACCAAATTTAGGGGGAAAAGGGTAAAGTGGAATCGGCAGTTGTTCTCTTGCGTGATCAGGACCTGAATATCCCCATGGCTGAAGACACCACGAGAAGTCTGTTCAGGATTCTGGAGTAATCGTACAGAAATCTTATCAGTGATCTAATTTTTTAACGTTTAAGTTTATTACCGAGAACGGTGGAGACTGGAACGCTCGCACAGTCCCCGATCACACAAATTACCATTTCTATATAAAGCCGGACAAATTGAAGGTGGGCGATTTCCTGGAATTTCTGCAGAAACCGGTCCTATCAAGCGGTTCTGTGACTGGTACACTGCAAAAATCAATTGAATCGCTTGCGTCTATTGCTTATCCCTCATAAGCAGCACATCGTCACTGTTCTTCCTGAAAGTGGAAGCAGCATAGTGGTCAGAGGAGCCGGGCGCGGTCAAGAGGACATAGGCGCGGTAGTGTAGTTATAATACCTGCAAACGATAGAGTGTGAGGGGATGTGGAGGGCTTCCGAGCCGCCGCTTTCCAAACAATGATCTCATCCCAAGTCTGCAATAATTAGTGGGGGAGGCTGTTCTGCGCTCCAATTCACGCCCCTACACACGCCCTACCACTTGCAAGAATCATTATTGGACTTGAAAGTAAAGGCACATTTCTCGATGAGAACTCATGGATAGTAGGGTCCAAATATGAATGAGGCGCTAAAAAACCCACCATGAAGAAAGTGCAGAGGATATGGGGAGAGAAAGCTGAGTATGACCCCTTTAATTTCGAGCCTGCGTAATTTGTATCACCTGCACTATTGCAACATTATGCGCATAGTCGCGAACTTCGTTGACGGTGAAGTAAGTTACCTACCTACTGAGATGATTACTTTAATGCTGAGCGAAGTGTGCTTTGGATGGTACAGACTTGAGAAACGATTTCCTAGTTTTCCCATTCAGGGAGCACTCGACCGCCTTGTGCAGTTCTTCCTCTGTCCGAAATTCACCGAAAGTGCAACCGAAAGAGAGGTATGGACCATTTGAAACGTAGATGGACGAATTTGAAAGAAATGATTGTGAAACTGCTCCTATAGTTGATAGGGTCGCAATCATTCGGGGCGTTGTCAACGATCACCACTGGCTGAATGAGCCCGCGTCCGTTGACTTACTCTGCCAGTGGTGATATGGTCGATATGGAAAGGAAACAACCAGTGGTGAGAGCGCCACGGGTGAGCTCATACTACGCTTTTTAACACGGCTCCGGTTGATTGCGAGGTCACAATGCACATTTTGGTCGAGCGCATCAGCTACATCTATTACTTAGGCAGCGTTCGGACTTCGCGATGGTGCGGGACGATACACTGTAACGCGTTATAACTGCAGCAGCGCTCCATAGAATAGACGTGGGTATGGCCACGGACAAATTGATGGGCGCTGCTTGCGCCCCTGGCGGCGCTCACTTCCCTCAAACCAGGGCACATCATTAATTAGGGATTTTGGTCGAGTCCGTACACCCCCCCCCCTAAAATGTGGATCGATGCGACCCCCCCCCCTTCTAAGGCTTGCTGTTTTTTCGAATTTTTATTTGCGTTTTCTTCCAGCACCTACGTGGAAGAAAACCACTGCCTAGTTGAAAATTCTCCCTGGCCTCTGAGCACAGAATTTCTGTACTACGGAAACTGCAAACTTTCCGTAGGATTCACAAGACAGGATCCCAGCAAAATTGCTCTATTTACGGGGATTTAGTTCAGATGAACGTCGGTGGTCCTAATACATGTGTTACTTCAGCTAACATGGAAAGCCATAAAGCCAACTTTGAGCAGGTGGAAATTGCAAAAATTATAACCATTATCCCCTATTTTCCACCACTGGCGTGTTAACTGAGCGAGTCACATATCCTCACTTCTTTTCGGAAATCCTAGTAGAGAGAATGGCTGTGTGGATCTACACCCAACCTACAGACCGTTGTATTCAAATACGCGCGCCTCAAAACTTCCTCGATGTATGAGATAATCGCGATGGGAATTTTCTGAAGAAAACTTCGAGCTGCTCAAGAACCCGTCTTCAATGTACCGTATAGAGTGGGCGTATTCAGATATACAGGATTGCGTCCAGAATGCATTTCATCGTGGATTAGGAATCAGCAATAGTTGTTTTAGCCCCCATTAGCTTCATTTCTGGATGCACCATGCATAGCTCTACGCAGAGGTAGTGGGATGGTGCAAGTTCTACACAATGCATGTCTACGAGAGCAGATGTGTTTATAGAATTCAGGAAGGTCCATGGCCAACGTACGCAATTGTTTGCCCACTGCGGATGATGGGCGTGTCCGCCCCATCGGCGGAGAACGGAAACGGCAAACCGCCAGCTCGTGCTCCACCAAATGTTGAGTCCGATAAAAGAACTAAGTGCTGAAAAACGTTTAATACGAACGATATGGTAGCTCCGTTGTCTGTCGAAAGGAAAAAACAGGTTGGCGCCGCGGCAAAAGCGGTCGCGCGGACACGCCCCAACGTCCGCAGCGAACCAGGGTATAGTTGTACTGTTTAGTCATCTACGTACTTACGAAATGATGTCAACTTATTAATATTTCCAGTTAATTTCAGCTTAGTTCAATTAATGACAGTTTTGTACTATTGTTTTTACATCTATGGGTTCTCTACAGAGCAAGTTTCGCTGTGCAGTACTCAGCACACTTACGACCTCCCCCACTTCTCCCAGGGGCCACTTACGACCGTCTGTTGGGAAATCCTGACCAACGATGTGCCCTGCCCCAAGCTCTCCGCCGATCGAATCCCGTCTGCGGCTACATTTGCGTCTATGAGACTGGAGTGCGTGTCGACTTGCGTCATCGCACAGCTTAACGTTGCCCTGCGAATGAGCTCGGTGCACCAGCCTTTACCAGTTCAGCTCATTACTACTTGATCGTATGAAACGACCATTTCTGAACATTCTCGAAGTCCCGAAAAATGAGTAGGAAGTCAGACTGTGCCGGTATTGACACAACAGCAACACGTATTGGGGGGTGATCTGAGGGCTGATCAACAGCAATGCTTACTTGCAATCTATGCATAATCTGGAAATGGGATTGGCGTAGCTGCACGCTCCATTCAGACGTGGCTACGCTGGTTTTGTCGCAAAACACTGCCATGTGAAGCAACTGTCATCATGTCTTTTGCTTGCCAAGGCCTTGCTTGAATTTCCTCTGGACGGCAATACGTATCCAAAGCTTTGGCCACCTTCACGTTCAAATGAATTATGGAGCCAACACCTGCTACTTCTACGGGTTACGGAGCTGTGTCATGGGCAGCTGGCCACCACGTCGCGAAGCCTACGTGCAGCTCGTGAGCTACTTTTATGAGCGCTTTTATTTAGGTACGCGCTGTTGACTCAGAACATGCAAAGAATCTCAATAACGACGATCATCGAGTAGAATCAAGTGATGAGGTAAGTAGGTACCAGTACTCATGATGGGGGATTCCTTCAGAAGAGCTTCGAATGTGTTGAACAGACAGAAGAAAGAAAGATCGTAATGTAGTACAGACTAGAGACAACACTAAAAATTCATCATTTCACGGCTGTACTATCAAAAGCGCACTTCACGCTGGTCGTGTGTAGGAGCTGAGCGTACCATTATGCTTTCCTTCATGATCGCGGTCCTCCGCTAGGAAGCGCCAATGGTTACATTAGTTCGACCTACCATCAGCGTGAAATGCGGCTGCCTCGTTTCAATACATTAGCTGCTTTCAGTTATCTCTCGAAGCCAGGTCACGATTTCAGGAAATTTTCAACAGGAAATAAGGTTGTTCAAGAATGATTCACATAAATAGAAGCTTTTCCATTTCTTAGCTTCCTTGTACAGCTCCTTTCTAGAAAACACTACTTGACGATCCACAGGAGAAAGGTATTCATGTTCGTGAGGCATTGCTCGATTTTCACAAAGAATGGTACAGTTCCAACATGTGAGTAGTATCATCTTGTCTTAATAATGACGTATAGGATCAGATAAGGGCACATTCTATGTGGCTAAGCCTATAAGTATATGCTCGTTGATGTGCCATCCTCTTCACTGTCGTCGAAAGAGAGGGCATCGCAGAGAAAAGCGGAATGTTGGGTCTGACTCCGCCCTTACACCAAATGATGGCCATTCCTTCATTCTGTACCAAGTCAAAACCAGGAAGCTTGATCTTATCTCCAGCTTTTCATAGTATGTCGTTGTGTATTGTTGACTCGGAACCACTGGATGTCATGGAGTCGCTCGTGGCAGATTTGGACTTTGGAGCGATTGAAAACAAAAATGTGGAACGAAAAGAGTGGGAAAGTCCATACGGCGAGGAGCAACTGCGTAAACGTATTGAGGTGAGTGAATTCTAAAAATCTTCTCTGCATGCCATTTCGTCCCTACAGTGAATTTCTAAAGGGGCGTTGGGGCGCTCCTGCGTCCACGTTGGCAACAGAGCACGCCATCGTTATGATGATCACAACAGGGGGGGGGGTCGTGAAGCGCAGGGACCTTTCTGAAGTGAGGGTGCAGCGATACCCAGATGTCGTTCAGCTTCAATGATGAAAGACTTATCCATGTGAAGAACCTCTGAAGAGACACACACAAGACAGAAGCAACCTGCCAGCGCAGAAGTGGAAACGGGGGATGACAGGAAATACGATTGCTCGAAACGACGTCATGAATAAGTGACCAGATTAAAATACACTCTGGAACTTTCTATAGCAAAAGCACATCTACTTGCACAAAAGCAAGCCCTTTCTAGAAGTTGCAACCTTCCTAGTACCTCTGCGTGAAAGCGTTATGCATGGCGAACTCCAGAAATGATACCAGTTGGCGTCCAATAACTATTCCCTGATATCCTTGGCGAAAAATGCGGTTCGGAAGCATACCAAAGTCTTTAGCCCCACTGAAAGTTTCATGTCGTCGTAAGGGTTGGTTTCTTGTCGTCCGGCAGCGGTCGCATTGTGATGACAACGGGGATTTTTTTCGAATAGCAGGCCTAGGAATAAAATGAAAGTTTTGCTGGAAAGTAGAAGGCTTTGGAATCTCGACACTGTTTTTTCTACAAAAGCCGTGTATTAAGCCCGAGTGGCTGTTGAAAGCTAAGGACTTGTAAATGACCCCCTCCTACCCGTGATCACGACAGGATCAAACGAAGAAAATTCCAGAAAAGAATTTTTTCTGAAATCACTTGAACTCATGTAACGTTGCCAACCTAATGCTCCACATTTCACCTGCTTTCCCCTCTCCAAAACCTCTGCTCTCAGATAAGTTATGGGTATTCAAGTGGAGGTACTTTCAGAGTGTTTGGTTTTAAACCGGCTCCGGGTGGTAAAACAGCCCGCTCCAATCCCTTTGTATTAGCGCGCTCACCTCTGAATGACGAGCAAAGCAATATTCACAAGAGAATTCCTAGTTCATAGTTCTAGTATTTCTGGTGAGTTCTTTTTTCTCGTCGTTTGTTTGGGACTGTGTTTCAGAATTCAATTCTTTTTTGTCTCCTACTAGCTTGCGTTGTATTTTGGCACTACTGAACTATTCCTACCTTAGTCTGCCAAAATCAGGCCCGCTTTTGTCGAATTTTTTCTAGAAGGGCAGATTTGGCTGAAAATTCGCTTACAGTGGTACTTCGACCTCCTGAACATGAATATCACATCCCGCTTTGCCCAAAACTTTTCATCGATTTTGGTGATTTGGAGTATTTTGGAGCCGCGCCATAGGTGCCAGCGCTGATTACCCTGAATCACGAAAACCGATTAAAACTTGTACACAATTATTTGACATCCTACCTACAAATATGGCATTTATTCTTGGCGTCGGCGTTAACGTACGACACTATGGTCATCTCCGCTTTGCTAGGGGGGTGTACCAACACCACCAATTCACCCATCATGATGCTGTACGCTGTGTGTGGGTACTTTCCCAGTAACCCTAAAGTCCGGTAGATAAGCCCGCGGGTCGCGATCGCCGCGTGCGCAGTTTCTAGGCAGGTTGCACAAGGCTCAAAACCAGCTGTTCACTTTTGAACCTTCCAAACAGCTGATTACGAAGGTTCAAAGGATGTAACCATAAAGAGTGACAGTAGAAGGATGGACGATAATAATTGATGGAAGATTTGAAGCAAAAAACAAAAGAAGATAGCAGAACGCTTGGAGAAGCTTTCAAAGTTAGGCTGAAAAAAATCAAAATCGAGTTCATACTTCACGTTTCTCTTTGGAAATTTGTACAAGGTAGCCAGTCAGTATGCTAGTATGTACATAGGAAGGCACATTGATGGCAAAAGTATCCCGATGCTGGCTCGAAAGCATTCTACGCTAATCTTCGGGCGAAGACGTCCATCGGTTGCTCTTAGGCTGCGTTTATACTTTGCGGCAGCGTAGCGTAGCGCTTCCAGCGTACGCCAGCGGCAGTGCCGGGGAGAGGATGCATATCGATCTAGCGTTCCCAGCGTCACCAGCGTACGCTAGCGTTTCTCCAGCGTTTCACCAGCGTTTTGCTGGCGTTTGCAGCGGCAGGGGAGTAGAGACTATGTGGCCGTAAGAGACGCGCAATCGATGTGTATTGTAGAGACTATGTGGCCGTCAGAGACGCGGAATCGATGTGTATTGTAGAGACTATGTGGCCGTCAGAGACGCGGAATCGATGTGTATTGTAGAGACTATGTGGCCGTCAGAGACGCGGAATCGATGTGTATTGTAGAGACTGAGGGCGAGTGAGAGACGCGCAATCGATGTGTTTTGTACCCTCCAGCTCTCCCATAGTCTCTACTCCCCTGCCGCTGCAAACGCTAGCAAAACGCTGGTGAAACGCTGGAGAAACGCTGGCGTAACGCTAGCGTACGCTAGCGTTACGCTGGTGACGCTGGGAACGCTAGATCGATATGCATCCTCTCCCCGGCACTGCCGCTGGCGTACGCTGGAAGCGCTACGCTACGCTGCCGCAAAGTATAAACGCAGCCTTAACTCTCCATCGGTTACTCTTAATTCTTCACGAAAATCGATTAAAACATGTACACAATTATTTGACATCCCACCTAAAAATGTGACATTTATACTTGGCGCCGGCGTCAACGTACGACACTCTGGTTATCATTTTCTCAAATGCAGGGAAAAGGAGGGCGAACCAACGATAAAGGCACTCCATGTCCCTACCCATACGATTATCGTGTACTTTGCCTTTCGATCCCATATAGTGCCCGCTCACAGATCAAGTATTACTGCTGCAGACTTATTGACAATATTTTTTTCTCTGACAGATCGTACCTGTCGAAGATGTTCGGAAGTTAACCATGTGTCTTTCCGATTCCCGACCTACAGGATGAGTATAAGTCGTCCACTGCTGGATACATTTGTAAGTGAATATATATTACTTCCGATATCTCGATAATGCTTGTTTTTCTGGTAATCTGGACTCTCGGCAACATTTAATGGATCAGGTGAAGAGCTCAGAACGCATAATGATGGAGATCTCTCTTCAATTCTAATTCTTTCTCTTCACTTATGCGATGATTCGCCGGAAATTCCCGTTAATAGGACATGCCATGTGTTACCCATTGCTCGGTAAAAAAGTTGCACAGTCATGTTCGCTGCGGATACTGGAACTGTCGAACCCGGGTTTGGTGTCACACCTATCGGTTCTCCACAACTGCTCGAGCGAATCAAGCGACAATAATTGGTGGAGATTAGCTGAGTGAGACCCCACCTACTGATACGCCCCAATATCCGCTGCGTCTCCCCACCGATCCCATCAGACAATGAGATGGAAAAGAGAAGCAGAGTGCACAACTAATGGAAAGCTCATTACTATGTGGCAATGGTAAAATGAATCAATGAAGCTTGGTGGCTACTTCGAGGGCGGAACTTCCTCGTGGCAGAACATCTTATCGAGCTCACTGTATCCCTCGACTCCCTGCCCCTTGACTCACGATAATGGGAACATCCTCTGATGTCGCCGAACGAGCCATCTTGTACTACAAAGGAGTTCTGCTTGTAGGCTAACTGCGGAGTCTATCTTTGAACGAAGCCAGCTATCATTTGCCAACACCCATAGTGAATGGGGGTTGCATATAGATGAAAAGGTCCTAAGTAGCATAGTGAATGAAAAAGCAGGAAAAATACACCGACTGCCTAGAATGGAACCACTTCCCGATCCCAGTTACGTGCCCAATACACTCCATCTACAACACTACACGTTATCCGCACAGCTGAATCCTCGATAAAATTTCTATGGCCATACAAGCGTTCTTCCTGCTTTTTCGTTCTGCAGCTCGCTTTTCACTGAGAGGCGGGCCTTGGTCGGTGTCACTGGGGTAAAGGCACTGAACCTATGTTGCGCTCGCCCCTCACAATTTTTGGCGCGAAACTGGTATAAGGGTTCGTCCCGGACCACTCCACCCTTCAGACGCCATATTCTAAAGTTCTATGTCTGATCACGGGCCGTGCCTTTGAGACTGCACAACGGTCGTATAAAGTGACCAATTCCTCATCGCAAATTTTATTGTACTCTCTGCACCTTTGTGAAGTTTTCAAGAAAAGAGGTAGAGGGTAGAGTGATTGAAATATTTGATTTTTCTACGAATGTTACAGCTCATCTGATCGCTCGTGGAGGAGAAGGTTCTTTGTTGTCTGAATTGAAGCGGCGAGGATTGGGGAGCACTTTGGAAGCTAAAGAGGGAATTCTCGCAAAAGGAATCAGCCTTTTTTACATAGAAGTCAGTCTCAGCGATGGTAAGCGATTTGATTCTGTGAAAATCTCCACATCTTCAGCTGTTCACTATTTGCCGCCAATCTCATCGAAATTCAGACCAGTTGGAAATCTTCCCCGGGTGAGCACCTCTAGTTGAAGTTTCGTACGGTAAGATACTGTCGCTACCACCTAGCACATTCCCGAGGCCTGCCTGCGGCATGACCTCACTTAATTGCTGCGCTGACTGCTGACCTCTCACTGACTGCTCAACGAAACGAGATGAATCGAATTAGTCTTCTAGTTAAACTTGATATGTGAAGACCAGTGCCCAATTCCATAAATATCAGAATGAGAATGAATGTTCGTATAGAAGGAACGGTGTTGAAAATTTCGGAAACTTCTGTTTTTAGGTGCACTTACAAATTCTTATGATCCTTCCAGTGGCGAAGCAACTCTCACAGGATCACCTGACACACTCTATTTATCTCATGACCTTTCTTTGTTGACTTACTGGCGCTGCTCTCATACCCTATTGAAGGTCATCTGAAAATATTTATATTCATATGGCTGGATGAGAAAACCATTAACACACCTCGTCAGTGTTTGTCGTTGCACGAGTTACTACTATGACGGGTCCTGTCATATCTCTTCCATGCACTCATTCCACACAAGTTCTACTCCACCCGATTCTTATGCACGTTTCTGCTGCTCTATCGTCGGTCCACTCACTCTTTGCAGATGGCTTCTACATGGCTGCTCCGCCGATGATTCACCGTCACCGAGTACCCTCCGAGCTTTCTCACCTGCATAATTCCTGACATCTACCCTCTTCAGTAATCATGGGTTTTCAACCTGTCGGCGGTGTCTACTACGGTTCTATGCATGCAATCGCAACACTCACCCCTCCTCGGGTAATCATGGATTCCTCCACAACTCCTCCTCCTCAGTCGTCCATTAATCCTTTTGGAATCACAGATTCCTGCACAGCTCCTTCCACCTCTGTCACCGTCTGCCTGCTCCCCCCATGCATCTGAAAGCCTTACGTGTTCTAGTCTTGGGTCTTTCAACCAGTCCAGGTGAAAGAGATGCAGAACCTACCCTGCTTTTAGATTTGAAGGTTATTGAAACCAGCCCCTGAGGATCAGGTAAGAGACTTTGGCAAATGGATGGCTAGATACGTAACTGATAAAACCATATAATTTTTTATGATGTTAGACAGTGCTTTTTATTTATTTCGTTGTAAATTTGGAACCAGTAAAAAGGAGTTTCCTTTTCTAACACTCAACCTTGAAAATTGTCGTCGTCAGTATCTCGTTTCGTTGAGCAGCCAGTGAGAGGTCAGCAGTCAGCGCAGCAATTAAGTGAGGTCATGCCGCAGGCAGGCCTCGGGATATGCGCTAGGTGGTGGCATACAGTATCTTACCGTATGACACTCCAACTAAAGCCCGCCACCATTCTTCCCCTGGGCAGCTGGGTAGTAAAGCGGTTACTTAGATACCATTTTCGTATGGCACGAACGTCAGTTACATGCGGTTATCCCAAAGTCGCCTGATGTGCTGAAAATGTGTCGGAGGGGTACGTCGACACTCTCAACTAGACTATTATACTTGGTTGGATTCAAACTCTCACGCATGATCAGGGAAATCCCCTTATGCACGATTACTGGATGTCGGATGCCAAAGCAGCGAATGGTGTAGAAAAACATGTGGCGAGCCAGGAGAATAGGATTTCGAAGCGGAGGGCCTATGCAGACGAGAGGGAGTAGATTGAAAAGAAAATTGACTCAAGAAGAAAATTGACTAAGTAGCTGAGCCGCATCCAAGTCCTACCACTAAGGAGAAATTTCGACCAAATGGTGCTCTAAATTTCGGTGGGTGTGGCAGTGAAAAGCGCTCACTACGTTTTTCTGAGAAGCAGTCACGCCTCACACTGAAAGCGTTTGTATTCCCGTCAATCAGTTTTTTCTTTTCAGATGGTCTCAGTCACGTTGAGGAAGTAATTAGCCTAGTTTTCAACCGCATTGGGCTACTCAGACGTAGTGGCGCAATCGCTTGGATTTATGAGGAACTCCAAAAAATAGATGAAATCAATTTTCGCTTTATGGTTCGTCGAATGAGGTTCAAGTACACTTGACCGCTCATTTCCTATTCAATTTAGGAGAAGGTCGATCCAGTAGCTGCGGTCATCGCATATTCTTCTAATTTGCAGCGTATTCCTTTCCGAGACATTCTGTCGTGGAATCTTCTTTGGACGGAGTACAAACCTGGTACTGCACAACTTCAATGAAGTAGTAGGATTTCACTATTGAACGTAGCCTGCGGTGGAATGCTATGACCGGAAAGAACATCCTGAAGGCACTGTTCACGCTGGTTGTGTGGGCGGAGCCACTATCACTGCTCCTACCTCATCGGCTACCTTCACCCTTACATTTGCAAGGAGCCGTGCACCAATAAGAAAGGCCTCATTATGAGTCTGACTCCGCCTACACAGTCAGCATTTACCTTGCTTCCAACGACAACGGATTCCAGATAGAATTATGGAAATCATCGAGATGTTGTCTCCGAAGAACATGTTCTACATTGTAGTTGCCAAGCAGTACAGTGGTCAGGAGGGCAATATTCACGAGCCGATTTTTGGGACAGAGATGCGAATCCTAGATATAAACGAGGTGAGTTTTTCGTGATAAGCAGCGTACACATTGCTCCACTTAATGATAGTTCCACCATAAAACTGACGAAATCCCTTCTTATAGATGTTTTCAAAATGCTGACAAGTAGTAGTTGTGGTGACTACGTTCTGCGCGCTAGCATCAAAAACCAGCTTGAGAGGATTAGTTCTTTTTTCCTCAATTTTTTGAAAATTTGAAAAAAAAGGTTACTCTGACAATCTCCGCAAAATGATAGTTCCACCAAATCGAATGAAATGGATAAAGTGTTGATTCAGTAATCTACTGGAGCCCCATTTCTCCGAATAAGTTGGAAAATGCTGGTTCTCCATGCTCGAATAAAGGTTTTCAACAAGGTTCGGTCGACAGTGTGCCATGCTATGAAGCCTCACACATTCTCGATTGGGCTTAGGTCGAGGTTAATTCACTGGTCAAGGCAAAAAAAGCGATCTGATGATGACTGAATTAGTGCTTGGAATGTGCTCGAGTGCTTGGAATGGCATGAACTGGTGCATTATCTTGCACGAAAGCGAGGTTCTCTTGCCGAAATGCACGTCAGAAAAAAGTAGATCTTGTCGCATAACACTTGGGATTATCGAGAGACTTCATTTCATCCAAAATGAAGCACAACGTTAGAGATCCAGAAAAGACAAGACAGACAAGGGCGTCGCTGTCATAAGCTAACCTTGCTCTAATCGGTTCGGCAACATCTCCTATCGAAGCCGATTCGGTTTTCACGATGCCTTTCTTACAGAAACCGTGCCTTCCTCATTCTCCTCCTGTGAAAAGACTCGGACTTTTCAAGACGTGCAGAACAGTTTCTTTCGAAACGTTGAGCTCTAAAGTAAGCGCTATTTCCCGGCGCGACATCGTAGAGATTGATGCTTACCTTGGAATGCGGCGCTTATGTCGATCAGAGAGCGAAATAGAGCTCTTCTTCATCCCATATCCTGCAGGTTGCTTGACAAAAC